TCGGACGTTTTATTCCTACTTTCCTGACGGGCCCGCCGAGCCCCTCTCGAGGCCACTTCCGAAACCAACGTTCGGACTGGAGTGCTTTCTCGACGGACCCCAGATTCGGCTGGGGGCCCCCGACATCCGAGACCTGCGCCAACACTAGAGAAAAAGCTTGCGACTGGCAAGCCTCATCCGGTGAACGGAGCCGCGGCGACTTCACCCGCTGGCCAGCGCCAGGCGGCAGAGGAGGAAAAGTAGGATGAGGAGCTCGAGCGACGAACGCCGGAGGGAGGGTCGTTCGGCCGCCACGGACGGTGCATTTTTCCTCGCATAGGCCCGACGAGGAGGTGGACGAGCAGGAGAAAGAGCCAAGGGAAATGTCATGATGGAGAAGCAGGATCGCAAGAAAGGACGACGAGAAGAAGAAAGAGAAGTCGACGTAAACAAAAGAAGAGGGGCCCGAACGACTCGCACCAGCTGCGAGTCGCACGAGCTCCTCGATCTGTCGAGGCCCCCCCGCAGACGGGGCGCAGAAGGAGGGAAAGGAAAAGGGGAACCGGCGACGCAAACAGACACGGCGCCAAAGCGAGACCACGACAAAACGAAGGGCGTCCAACAGGAACAAGGACAGGCAGATGGGGCCCGCAGAACTCACTGTCGGAGCGAGCCATTCGGGCCCATCTGCCGGCCGAGATTCCCACACGGGATCGCCACAGAAGGAAATGGGGGCACTCGACGAGGCAAGGAGACAGACACGGCGGAGAAGCGGGGGCGAAAAGGATCAGAAGACGGGGCGCGATAACGAAGATAACGACGAGGTGAGGAAGCAACTCTCGCCCACCGCATGCAACCCATGGCGGCGACGCTCGTGAGAAGCTACTCTGGAATGATCCGCCTCAGGCGCCCCCCACCCGGGGGGTGGACGCGGGGGGCCTCGGTCGTAGACCTCGGGGGGGGGGGGCAGTGGAAAGATCGAGGAGTAGCATGGGAGGTTGAACGGGGGGGGGGGGGTGAAGGGGGGCGGGAGGGGGAGGAGGAGGAGGAGGAGGATAACGACGATGGATGTCGCACTGGCACGCAGCGCCGCGCCTCAGGTGGGCGCAACGGCGAGCACTGCAGAATGGGGGCAGGCGCTCAGCGCGGCCCCCCTCGTGCACCGGCGGGCCCCCCCCCCGAAGGTAGATCTCGGAGGCGACCCTCGACCGAATATGAGATATGGAAGTGCGTGGGCGACCGAGACCCGCAAGATGAAAAAGACAGAGCCGCGCGCAGAGGAGCCCGCGCAGTTACCGGGAGACTGAAACACACGGCTTGCAGCGACCAGCCAAAACTACTGCACCAGGCCTCGGACGAATTATTCTTTCTCCCCTAACGGACTCGCCGAGCCCCTCTCGAGGCCACTTCCGACACCAACGTTCGGACTGGGGCGATGTCTCGACGGACCCTGGAGTCAGCTGGGGGCCTCGACGTCCGAGACCCGCCGCGGCGATTTCACAGGCTGGCCAGCGCCAGGTGGCGGGGGAGGAAGTGTAGGATGAGGAGCTCGAGCGACGGACGCCAGAGGGAGAGTCGCTCGGGCATCACCGACGGCGCATTGTTCCTCGCAAAGGCCAGGCGAGGAGGCAGACGAGCAGGAGGCCGAGCCAAGGGAAATGCCACGATGGAGAAGCAGGATCGCAAGAATGGACGACGAGAAGAACGAAGAGAAGTAGATGCAGACAAAAGAAGAGGGGCCCGAACGACTCGCACCAGGCATGAGTCGTCTGAGCTCCTGCACGCGTCGAGATTTCCCCGAAGACGGGACGCAGAAGGAGGGGGGAAAAAGAGAAGCGGAGATGCAAAGAGACTCGGCGACAATGCGAGACCACGACAGAACGAAGGGCGACCAACACGAACGAGGGCAGGCAAATGGGGCCGAACAATTCACTTTCGGAGCGAGTCAGTCGGGCCGCTCTGCCTGCCAAGATTCTCAGGCGGGGGCGCCACGGGAGGAGAAGGGGGGCAAGACGAAGCTGGGAGACAGACATGGTGGACAAGCGGGCACGAGGAATATCAGAAGACGGGGCACGGTAACGAGGATAGCGACGAGGCGACGAAGAGGAGG